AATGACTCGTGTTGGAGGCGATGGCTAAGCGAATTACTCTGATTGGATCATCACACGATCAATATATGTATCCAAACATCTGTGCCCCCATAGATATGTGCAAGGATTACGTGTCAATTAAAAACAAAATAAAACTTATTTTTAAAATGCCACCCTGTACCACATGGTGCTATCACACTCTATTCCTATTTTTAAATGCTAGCCAGATCACATTAGAACAACTACTCTCTAATAACTAGTTTCCATTGGGAATCTAGGATAGTTCCGCTGTCTAAGTTGTTTTCCAATTTTTTTTCCAATTTTTTTCAGCGGACACATATTATGATCCAGCAAGGCCCACAACACCCTCCGGTGAGATTTCTCCACCACATAATGCTGCCTCTAGGGTTCACTGCCAGCTCCGATTTTCAGATGAGGAACCGGGCTCAGAGAGCTGAAGACACCTGCCCAAGGCCACACAGTTCCAATGTGGCAGTGCCAGTTTCCGCCTCACTCCTGAAGGAGAAAAATTACTAAAGGTTCCCCATTTCACTGTTATTAAGTACAATTTAATTCAGCCCTTCCTCCATTTTGACAATAAGATTGAACTTCACCTGCCTGCTGTTCTCTTATACCATACAGCATAAATTAATGGTATTAATTAGCTTAATAATTAATTAAGATGATTGATTAGCTTAATGATTGATCAAGCTGATTAACTAAGCTTATGCTTAATAGTGCAGGTCTCTGTATGTAACTAAATGAATCTGAGATGGAGATAAAGTGTGTTGAGGTGACAATCACTGTCACCAACAGCATGAACACCATCAACAACATTGTCACCAGAGTGACTCCCTTCAACACCACCACCACCACCCCATCACTACGTCCCTCCTCTACTGCTGCCACCAACACCACTGTCACCACCAGCATCAACAGGGTCACCAATGTCACCATCACCAAGACCACCCTCACCACCACCTCAAAGCAGGTATTCGGATGGAAGTCACCCTTTTTGTGTTCCAGCCACAGCCTTGGTCCAGCAGACCTGTGTTCTCCATTTTCCATCCCTCTCCCACCCTGGGACAAAAGGGAAATGACAGTGACATTGAGGAACATGCTGCTGAGCTTGGGAACAAAGAGGAAATCTGGGTTTGATTCTCTGGCTTCTCTGTAAGTGGCTCCAGGCATATTCTGAGCCTGGCGCTCAGGGGTGACCATCTGTGAGGGGCAGTCCCAGCCCCCGGACCAGGGGAAGGCAGAGGAAGAGCTCCCAGTGCAGACCTAGGAGCCTGGAGGTGGCACAGAGCTGGGTGGCAGAGCCTGAATCCCACCTGCTCTAGAGGTTTAGGAGGCCACTTTTGTGGGGAAGCAAATCTGAGGGCCTGGGTCTGCTGTGCTTCCTTCTGAGAGGGAGAGAAAGAGGAGAAAGTCACTCTGGGACAGTCCACAGGGCTGGCAGTCACCACCCTGCTCCATGCCAAGATGAGACTTCTGGGGCCCCAAAGGAGGAAGAAAGTGGCTCCCCTTCCAGGAGCCACATCCCAGGGGGACTGCCTTTCCGTTTCCTTCCTGAGAAACCACTTTTTTAATTTCTTGCTCACTCTTCTATCCCCAGAACTTGGTATAACATATGGCACATAGTAAATGCTCAATAAATGTTTGTCAAATTAATGAGAAAAGGGATGGAGATGCCCCCCCTCCTCAGCAGCTGCAAAGGGAGAGGTAGGGTTCTAAATCATAGACTGAGTTCAAACGATCTGAACTGATAAGGTGTTCAGGGGAGAACTTTTACAAAAATATGAATCTTCTTGTCTTGTGCACTAGAGAGACTATGTGAAAATTAATAACTTGTCCCAACTAATCCTTTTCCCTATTCATAAATATTACTTAGAAGTGACACTTCAACAAAATGGTTTTCTAGGATGCCCAAGACTTTACAAATTGTGGTTACGTCCAGTAATTATTTCCTCCATAAAAAAGTTTTGCCCTGATCATTTGCTGCCCTACTGACGACATTCTTGCATTGAAACTGAATAAATACAAGTAAGATTCCTCATCAGATCAGCGGCCCTTTCCTCCTTGGAAGCTGTGTTTGAATTAAATTAACAAACAGCGCTTGGCTGAACTTCCAGAATAGTCGAGAGTGGGAGGTGGAGACACCTGCTGGCTGCCCGAGCACTCACAGAGAAGAGAGTGCCCTCCACGATAAACCAGATTTAGAAGATTGTTCTCTCTGCTTAAAGCACTCTTATAAACTGTGTATGTTGAAGTTGGATTCGTGAGAACAAGATGTGTTTGGGGTCCCTTATTCTTCTTTAATATCTTTTCTTATCACCCTGCTAGTTATATTCTTTATTATGCCTTAATTAAAGCTAATTAATCGGCCAGACACGGTGGCTCACGCCTGTAATCCTAGCACTCTGGGAGGCCGAGGCGGGTGGATAGCTCAAGGTCAGGAGTTCGAAACCAGCCTGAGCAAGAGTAAGACCCTGTCTCTACTATAAATAGAAATAAATTAATTGGCCAACTAAAAATATATAGAAAAAATTAGCCGGGCATGGTGGTGCATGCCTGTAGTCCCAGCTACTCGGGAGGCTGAGGCAGGAGGATCGCTTGAGCCCAGGAGTTTGAGGTTGCTGTGAGCTAGGTTGACGCCAGGGCACTCTGGCCCGGGCAACAAAGTGAGACTTTGTCTCAAAAAAAAAAAAGCTAATTAATCAAAGATGTGGTCAATTCAGAGTTTTTTTTGTTAATACTTCTTGTGACATTTTGAGGGGGCAAGTTTGACATGCTGCTTTCAGTCCTTCCTCTTGAGATGTGAACAAATCCAAAATAGAAATTTCTTTTAAAAATACTCTACAAAGACTAGAATTGGGATATAGCCTAATTTCTGTTATTCCATCTCATATTATCATTTAAATCTATATAAACATTTGTTGCTTCAAAAAGGAAGTGATATTCTTGCTAAAGTTATCTAGCAAACATACTCCTGTAATGTTCAAATGATCACGCCAACTAGTAGAAATTTCTTCATAAATGTTTTGTACCTAAAATTAATCACTTTTACAACAAAAATTATTGCATCTTATTCTTGCAAAGAAAACATACATTTATATTTCAATTGACAGAGAATGTCACCATGTAAAGAACACACGATTTGTCACTCCAAGTTACCTATATTTGAAAACACACATGCAATAACACTGAATCCAACTAAAATATTTTTTGTTCTTTTTTGTTTTTGCAGATGAAGAAACCAACTATTTTGCTCATATAATTGACCTCGTTAAACTGTGTATAGATGACAGGAATCTTCATGATTGCAACATTATGGATCACCCACAAGTTCAGGGGTATCACCCCTTTGCTATAATAATTCGCACTTCAAGAGGCAAAGCCAGCATGGATTAACATATTTCAAACAAATACTGAAGGCAAAGCCAAACACTGCCACATCCCAACATTACTCCCCAACTCTCTGCCCATGTTGAGGACATTTAGAACCTCCATTAAAAATGTGAAATCCATTAGCTGGGTGTGGTGGCGCATGCCTGTAGTCCCAGTTACTCGGGAGGCTGAGGCAGGAGGACTGCTTGAGGTCGTTGGGAGCTATGATGATACCACTGCATTCTACCTGGGGCAACAGAGTGAGACTCTGTCTCAAAAACAAAAAACAATGAAAGCACACCTTTTCCAGTTCTGTGCCCAGCTCCAAGGCAACCCTTTGCAGCGAAAAATTCCTCAAAACCTCTGTGATCTAGCAAAATGGCAAAAACAGGGTTTTCTTGCTTTCATATATTTTAATCTCCATCTTTAGATTTATTTTTTTAAAGGATAAAGCCAGTGAGGTCAAGTGCAGGTTGTCCTCCTACAGGTCGCAGGTCATGACATTCTACTTGACAGAAAGTTCTAGAAGGCTGTGATCACAATTTGCATGTGCACTTCTGGTTGGGGCCCCAAATATGAGATATGCCCAGTCCGTCCAGGGTCCGTGGTGCCAACAAGAGCACATCCTAGTTTGTCTCAAGAGACTATCCATCTGCCGTTCATAGCACCTTCCTTTCAAGTCGAGATCTTGCACCAGGCGGGCTGCTGCTTCTGTTCCTTCTCTTGCTAAATGATCAGCATTAGCTTTGCACATTGTAAACAGAGTCTTCTTGCTGTTAAAAATGTAAGGCAACTCCCATTTTTAAAAGGTTTTAAATGGTTTTATTTTTTTATTATTATTTTTTTGTTTTTTGAGACAGAGTCTCGCTTTGTTGCGCAGGCTAGAGTGAGTGCCATGGTGTCAGCCTAGCTCACAGCAACCTCAAACTCCTGGGCTCAAGCAATCCTGCTGCCTCAGCCTCCTGGGTAGCTGGGACTACAGGCATGCGCCACCATGCCCAGCTAATTTTTTCTATATATTAGTTGGCCAATTAATTTCTTTCTATTTATAGCAGAGATGGGGTCTCGCTCTTGCTCAGGCTGGTTTCGAACTCCTGACCTCGAGCAATCCGCCCGCCTCGGCCTCCCAGAGTGCTGGGATTACAGGCGTGAGCCGTCACGCCCGGCCTAAATGTTTTTAAAAGTTCAAGGTAGTTGTGTTGCCGTCAGCTGGGGGAGTTTTCTGTGGGCGTGAAGGGGGACAGGGTGCAGGACGAGGGCAGGTGGGCAGCGGGCCAGGGCAGCGCATCCCAGCTCCCGGGACTGGCCTTACCCCTCCCTTCCCAGCTCCACATCCAGTTCGCGCTGCGGGGCTGGAAGCAGCCACAGTGAGAGAGCATTTACACCACAGTCATTGGCACACACTACAGTCAGGATTCGCTTTCCTGAAGAGCCAGCTGTTAAACATCGACCAGCACATCACTGGGTGGACCCCGCCGGATTGTGGGGTCAGAGGAGAGGAGAGTAATGCTGGATTATCTGAACAGGTGAGAAAACACAGCACCCATCTTCATTTTCTCATCCTACTTATAATTACAGATATTTTTGAAGATTTACCACATGCCAGGCACTGTTATAAGACTTTACAAAAGTGTAGCAATTCATTTTATTCTTAAATATGTAACATTATCAACCCAATTTTAAGAGCAATGGGGTTCATGGTACTACCTTCCTGGATTAGGAAGGTGAATGATGAACGACGTTTGGATTTGGCTGGATTATATTTTAGCAGGGCGTCTGGCGAGACTCCACTACAGGAAAGAGTTAGCCATGCTGTCCTCATGCCTGTCACTCCCAAGCCCTCCCCCACTGCAGGCGAGGGCCAGGTCTGCTTTGTCTCGGTGACCCTGCAGTGGCCACTGGGGCTGTCCACAAATAATCCCTCTTGTCTCTCCTTCCTTCCAAGACTGTGCTTCCCCACTCCCCTTTGTAGTTGGGCACGATCACCTGGCAAATGAATGTGAGCGGAGGTAACATGTCACATCCAGGTAAAAGCTTTAAGAGTCACTGCGTGCTTTCCCGTTTTTCTCTCTCCGTGCCGACGGAACCGGCAACACTCCAGGCGAAGGCTGTCGCGTCAGCCTGGGGCACAAGGGTGCTGCAGAGCAGAGCTGGCAGCCGACCCACGATGGAGAGACGCCTTGGCAGCACGCGGCCCACGGAGATTCTGAGCTTGTGACTGCAGCAGAGCCCAGCCTCTCCAGACCGATGCATTTCCCAGTTCCTAGTAGACCCTGAAATGTGCAGGTCTCAAAAAAGTGAAGGGATGAATGAATGAACGGCAGGGAACAGGGACAGGCTCGTAAATTCTCCCCGGGGTGGAGGTACGGGAAGCAGCCGCGTCTTGGGCTTGCTCTCTCTCTCACACACACACACACACACACACGCTGTGACCAGACTGGGGTACAAGTCAGGCTCTCACCTGTGCTTCCCATGGTCACAGCTCATGCTCAACCTGCAATCTTTGCCCTGATTTTCTCCCCACTAGTCAGTACCGGGGGGCTCTTGGGAAGGGTGAGGAAGGAGGAGCCATGGAGACAGGGACACGGGATGAAAGGAGAGCCTGGGAGACAGAGGGGAGAGGAGGAGCTGGACACAGGAGGTGGGGGGTGAGCAGGGGTCAGGGCTGGGGAGCCAGGGCTGGGGAGGCAGACCCGGGGACGAGGCAGGAGACTGGGAGACAGAGGGGAAGGAGGGTCAGAGACAGACAGGGACCAGGAGGCAGAGCGGAGATTATGAAGGACAAATGGAAACAGATTGGGGGGGGGGGTAAAAAGACACAGAGGCCTGGAACTAGGAGACAAAGAAGGAGAGTCACAAGGCAAACAGGGAGACAGAAACACAAAAAAGCCCCTGCAGGGAGCCAGGGGCAGGGTGGGGCCGGGCGCCCTAGTAGTAGCACCGGGAGTCTTTGCTGGTGGTGGAGCGAGGGCTGGTGCTGGAGACGCCGCCTTTGCTGGACGCAAGGCCGCCACTCAGCACCGACCCCGTGCCCCTGCTCTCCACGCTGCTTCTAAAGCTGTCTCGCCCTCTACTGGACGCCGGGTATCCAGTGGACCCCAGGTAGCTGCTAGTGCTGACAGGCCTGAAGGTCACGCGGCCCCCACTCGAAGTGCGGCTGGACGCTGGTGCCCTGCTGGCACTCGAGGAGGCGGTGGCCGCCCGGCCCGCGCTGGTGCCCTGGTTGCCAAGGGTACCACGGCTAGGCGCCTGGCCCTCGCCAGAGCTGGAGATGCCAAAGGTGACGCGGCTGGTGGAGACGGTTCCACGGTCTTTGCTACTCCCCTTGATCAAGATGGATCCGGGGGTAGGTTTGGCGTCCCTGGGGGTCGCCAGGGTGGTGCCGGAGCTGATCTGCCGGTTGCTGGAGAAGCCCACGGTGGGAATGCTGCTCAGCTCCTGCGCCTGCTCCAAGAGCTCCATCTGCATGCAGAGGTGAGTCAGCATCCCAAAGGGGCCGGACGTCATTGTCCCCGACCCTGGTGGGCCCCCACTCTCACCGACTTCAACACGTGGCTCAGCAGCTCCTCCTTGCTCATAGGATAGTCATCTCTGGCCTCAAAACCCGGGGGGTCCTCTCTAGAGGGGAGGAAGAAAACTGAAGAAGGCTAGACTCTTGACCCACAAAAGGCCAGGGGTCCCTCCCTGCTGGGCCCACCCCCCTTCTGGAGCCCCCAGGGCTCCGTCTTCCCACAGAGTCTCCCCTACTCCTGCAGCCCCTACTCCTTTAGAGTCCTCGAAGCGCACGCTTCACCTGCTATCCCCCAGCGCCACGCCCACCATCTGGCCCCCCACAGCCTCCCAAGACCCTCCATCCTATTGCATCCCCTCTGCCCCCAGGGAACCGCCTGCCTCTTCCTCCCCCCCTTGCCCTGTGCCTCACAGGTTGTCAGGGAGCTGGAGTGGGGTTATCTTCTTCGGAAATTCCTCAAGGGTCTGTCCCAGCACCATGAGGGCAGCGTCAGCAAAGGAGGTGTAGTTCTGGGGAGGGTCCGAGCCCAGTGGTCAGCTCAGGCCCAGCCCCCAGGCGCTGGCCCCCCGGCGCTGGCCCGCAGCCCTGCCCACCTGGGTGTCGAGGAAGGCCTGCACCGTCAGCAGCTCCACCAGGCGCTTCTCAATGATGCCAAGAAACAGGCCTATGTCCCGGTCTGGCATCTGGTCCTTGACCCCAAGGAGGTCATCAATGATGCTGCTGTCGCAGTGGGCGTTGGTGAAGAGGAGCTGGATATCTGGGTCAGGGAGGGGCTGGGTGTCAGGGATCTGGCCACTCTGCGGAGACAGCGGTCAGGGCTCCAAGACCAAATGGGACTTGGCGAGCCCAGCCAGCCAGGCAATGGCCAAGCACCGCCGTGTGCCCAGCCCCGGGCTTGGGAACCGGGAAAGCCAATGCCGGGGAGCGATGGGTGACAAAGGCACCACCAGGGGCAAAGACTTCTTCACACGCCCCAGCTGGAAACAGATTCAACTTCCACCCCACCCAGCGATGCCACGGCTCAGGATCCCTCCCCGGGAATACACACACGCCCGCGCCCCAGGAGGCAGGGATCCAAAGCAGCATTGCAACTGTTTCCTTTGTTTTTTTTTCTAATAGTGGACCCCGGTTGCCCACGACAAGATTAATCATCGTCCTTGGCTGACCCACTGGCCATTGTCGTGACCCACTCTCACGCTGACCCACACGTGGCCACTTCTACTTAGTTAAGTGACTGGCTATTGTTAATGAAGTTAGAAGGCACCGGTGACCTTGACCAAAAGCTACATCCAGCATTCCCCACCCATCCCCGGGCCTCTCTGACACAAGCACACCACCGTCCCCAATCCTGGATCCGTCAGTCCCCCACTTGCCTTTTTAATATAGTTTCACTGCATTTCTATGTGTTCCTTAAACATACACACCATATCTATGTATTAGTCGTGTTTAGCTTCATAAAAGGGGTCTCAGCAGTACTGTGGATAACAGCAAACAACTGGAGAGGACCTAAATGTTTGTCAATAGAGAAATGGGTAACTCTGGAACAGCCATATTGTCGTGAGTTGGAGTCTCCCCAAAACTCATGTGCCCTAACCCCCAGTATCTCAGACTTTGACCTTATTCGGAAAGAGGGTCATTCCAGGTGTATTCAGTTAAGATAAGAAGTCTCATTGGAGTATAGTAGACCCCAATCCCATAGGACTAGCATCCTAATAAAATAGAAAGGGGAGACCAGGCACAGTGGCTCACACCTGTAATCCTGGCACTCTGGGAGGCCAAGGTGGGTGGATCATTTGAGCTCAGGAGTTCAAGACCAGCCTGAGCAAGAGCGAGACCCTGTCTCTACTAAAAATAGAAAGAAATTACTTGGACAGCTAAAAAGCATTTAGAAACAATGAGTGCATGCTTGAAGTCCCAGCTACTGGGGAGGCTGAGGCAGGAGGATCGCTTGAGCTCAGGAGTTTGAGGTTGCTGTGAGCTAGGCTGACGCCACGGCACTCTAGCCTGGACAACAAAGTGAGACTCTGTTTCAAAAAAAAAAAAAAAATTAAATAAAAAACAGAAAGGGGAAATTTGAATACAGACACACTTGGAGAGAAGGGACACAGGGAGAAGACGGCCGTCTGCACAGGGACAGAGGCCTGGAGCAGATCCCCCCGTGGCCGTCAGAGAGAACCAGCCCTGCTGACACTTTGTGTTGAGCTTCCGGCCTCCAGACCGTTAGACAATAAATCAGTGATGTTTAAGCCATCAGTTTGTGGTGCCTTGATATAGCAGCCCTAGCAAGCCAATACACACATTAATATTAAGCAACGTCAAGAGTGAGATAACACTACATATTTTGCTATATTTCTATTACTATATTACCATATTACTATATATTAATGTATTTTTATTACTGACGAGGCACCAAGATATTGCTGAGTGAAGAAAATCTAATGGCACGGTAATAAATGGAGAGCCACACTATTTGTATAAAAAAAAAAAGATTTATAAACTTTCTGTGAATATATACATGTTTGTAAATTCAGAGAAAGGCTATATAAAGATTAAGCCAGAACACTGATAAAGGGATCGCCTCTGGGGAGGACAAGAAGGCTAGGGGTGGGAAGATGGTTGTGGTAACAGAACAATGCTCCCCCACCCTCAAAAAAGAAGATGTTGTTCACTTCTTTTTTTGTTTTGTTTTTGAGACAGAGTCTCACTCTGTTGCCTGGGCTAGAGTGCTGTGGCGTCAGCCTAGCTCACAGCAACCTCAAACTCCTGGGCTCAAGCAATCCTCCTGCCTCAGCCTCCCGAGTAGCTGGGACTACAGGCATGCACCACCATGCCCAGCTCATTTTTTCTATATGTTTTTAGTTGGCCAATTAATTTCTTTCTATTTATAGTAGAGATGAGGGTCTCGCTCTTGCTCAGGCTGGTTTCGAACTCCTGACCTCGAGCAATCCACCACCCTCGGCCTCCCAGAGTGCTAGGATTACAGGCGTGAGCCACAGCGCCCGGCCAGATGTTCCCTTCTTAACCCCCGGAAGCTGTGAGTACCAGGGTAGGTTGCCCAGCAGAGTGGAGTTAAGCTTGCTGATCAGCTGACCTTAACATAAGGAGCCTGGTGAGCCCCGGGTGGGCACAGGGCCCTTTACAGGTGGAAGAAGGAGGCAGAAGACGTGTCAATCAGAGAAGAGACGACTCTGGAAGCTGAGGTTGGAGGGAGGAGATTCAACCGCCACCGCTGGCTTTGAAGATGCAGGGAGAGGCCGTGAGCCAAGGAATGCACACGGCCTCTGGAGGCTAGACGGTGGCGAGGGAGTGGATTCCTCCCCAGAGCCCCCGGAAAGGAATGCAGCCCTGCCGGCTCCCTGGTTTAGCCTAGTGAGACCCATTTCCGGCTCATTACCTACAGAATATTATGATAATAAGTTCGTGTTGTTTTAAGCCATGAAGTTTGTGCCAGTCTGTTACAGCAGTGATAGGAAACTAATACAGGGGGCATGATTGCAGCTGGACATGGTCTACAGTCCCAGCATCTCCGGAGGCTAAGATGGGAGCCTCCCTCTCTCCAGCTCATCCTTCAGAGTAAGCCTCAAGCATCGCTGCCTCCAGGAAGCCCTCCCAGTCGTCCCAGCACAGACAGTGTCATGGCTGTGGGACCCATGCAGTGGCAGGCACAAGTCCCGGTGCTAAAAGGGGCCCCGCACTTGGCTTGGCATGTTATTGTTGCTATCTTGAAAATCTGGGCAATTTTTAACAAGGGGCCCCACATTCTGCACAAGGCCCTGCAAATTATAGTCCTGCACTAGGGCCTCTTCTTGCCCGCAGTGCCCTGGGTGCCCTCCATCCTAGCCCCCAAGTTACCAGTGCCCAGTCCCCCCGTCAGTCCCCTCCTGGACTGCCCTGCTGTGCCCTCATCACCTGGCATGGGCTTGGCGCAGCCATCCTGATACAGGAAGGGAGGATCCGCCATCATCTGAGCTTCTGCCACGTGCCACGAGGCGGCTCTCCTGCTCGCTCCCCACACCACCCACCTTTCTGTCTCTCCCCATCCGTCACGCTTTCTAACTCTCATGACAGCCCTACAAAGCAGGCACTGCCATGCCCACTTCCAGAGGGGCTCAGAGAGAGGAGGCCACACACCAAGGTTCAAACCCAGGACAGTGATGCCTGAGTGCTCTGCATGGCTACTGCCCAGAACGTAAGAAAGACGGGAGGCTGCAACTGGATATCCATAGGAAGGATTAAAAATAGAAACTCTAGGTCCTACATCACACCATACATACAAATTAATTTGAAATAGGTCACAGATTGCAATGTGGGAACTAAAACAATAAAACTTCTAGTAGAAAACATGGGACAATGCCTTTGTAACCTTGGGGTAGGCAAAAATTTCTTAAGCAGGCCACAAAGTCTCCAACAACAAAAAGAAAAGTCAATAAATTAGATATCATCAAAACTAAAAAATAAATTTCAGTTAATCACAAAAAAAAAGAGTGAAAAGCAAGCATGTTACAAGAAAGTGAGAAGGCAAGCCCTAGCATGGGAGAAAGTAATTGCCAAGACTAGTATCCAGAATAGACAAAGAACTCTCACAATTCAATTATAAAAAGACAAACAACCTGATTTAAAAAATGCCCAACAAGGTGCTCGATAGCACTAGCAGTCAGAGAAATGCGAATGAAATTGATAGAGATAGCACCGCACACACACTGGAGTGGCTGAAATTAAATGTCTGGCAACACAGAGGGTTGGTGAGGGCGTGGAGCATCTGGAACTCTCATGGTGGGGGCGTAAAATCTTGCAACCAGATTGGAAAAATATGTGACATTTTTTGATAAATATCAACATGTACCTACCCAATGCCCCAACAGTCCCACTCCTAGGCATTTATGGACAGATGGATGGATGGATGGATGGATATTAGATGGATGAATGGGTGAATACTGGAGAGATGGTTGGATGGATGGACAGACGGATGGATAAGGGATGACCGACACGCAAGAGCACAGAGTTGTCCGTGCAGCCAGCTGGGGACTGGGCCCTCCGTGCGCTCATGGCATCCTTCCAAATAAGAAGCCCCAGCTGGGAGAAGGGTCCTGGGGATGCTCACCAGCCTTGAGCTTCTCCAGCTGCTCCCGCAAACTCTGGAAGCGGGCCTCGAGCTGCTCAGCCTCCGAGTGCACACTGTCCACGCGCTGCTGCAGATCCTTACGCTTCTGCCGCTGCAGCGAATGCTGGTTGTCCTCACTGGCATGTGAGGTCGCCAGGGCCTCCTGCAACTGTGGGAACAAGGGCTGAACGCGGGGCCTGGCCCGTAGCCTGGAGAGTGGGGGCAGAACTGTGAGGAGGAAGCAGGAGGGAGGGCTGAGGGAGAGGAGGGGAAGGGAGGCACGGAGAAGGGGAGATGGGGAAGGGCGGGCCTCACTCACCTCCTTGATCTCCTCCTGCAGATGCTCCAGCTCTGAGTTTTGCTCGTTGATGAAATTGAACTCGGCAAAGTTGCGCTCCTCCACTGCAGAGCGTGGAGAAAGGAGGGGTGCAGAGAGACAGAGACAGACATGCAGGACAGAGAGAACAGACACACAGAAGGCCAGAGAAAGAGATGTTGAGAAAGACCATACAGAGACCAAGGCATGGAGATGAACAGATAGATGGAGCCACAAAGAGACAGGGAAATACAGAGAGACGGAGAAATACGGAGACACAGAGAAAATGGCAGATGTGGGTAAAGAGAGAAACACAAAGAAGGACAGGGTTGGAGGAAAGATGTGCAGAGTGACCGAGGCCCAGGAGTGAAGGAAGGGAGATGAGAGAGAGAGACAGACACACACAGCAAAATCAAAAGGAACAGAGGCAGAGAGATGCAGGTCCAGAGGGACAGAAACACAGAAGGAAGAGGACAGACCCCAGAGAGGGGTGGGAGGGAGATTGGGAGGAAGACACCAGGCACACAGAGATGGGGAGGGGCAGAGACAGGGCCATGGTGAGAAGCATGTCCCAGCAGGCGCATGTCCCAGCAGGCGCGTGTCCCAGCAGGCGCATGTCCCAGCAGGCGCATGTCCCACCAGGCACGTGTCCCAGCAGGTGCATCCCAGCAGGCACGTGTCCCAGCAGGCGCATGTCCCAACAGGGGCACATCCCAGCAGGAATGTGTCCCAGCAGGTGCATGTCCCAGCAGGCGCATGTCCCGGCAGGTGCGTGTCCCAGCAGGCGCGTGTCCCGGCAGGTGCATGCCCCAGCAGGCGCGTGTCCCAGCAGACAAGTGTCCCAGCAGACAAGTGTCCCAGCAGGCGTGTGTCCCAGCAGGCGCATCCCAGCATGCGCATGTCCCAGCAGGCGCGCGTCCCAGCAGGCGCGCGTCCCAGCAGGCGCGCATCCCAGCATGCGCATGTCCCAGCAGGCAAGTGTCCCAGCAGGCGCGTGTCCCAGCAGGCGCGTGTCCCAGCAGGGGAGTGTCCCAGCATGCGCGTGTCCCAGCAGGCGCGTGTCCTAGCAGGCGCGTGTCCCAGCAGGCACATCCCAGCATGCGCATGTCCCAGCAGGCGCACGTCCCAGCAGGCACGTGTCCCAGCAGGCACGTGTCCCAGCAGGCGCATCCCAGCATGCGCATGTCCCAGCAGGCGCCGTGGCTCCAGCAGGCGCGCATCCCAGCATGCGCATGTCCCAGCAGGCAAGTGTCCCAGCAGGCGCGTGTCCCAGCAGGCGCGTGTCCCAGCAGGCGCGTGTCCCAGCAGGGGCGTGTCCCAGCATGCGTGTGTCCAGCAGGCGCGTGTCCTAGCAGGCACGTGTCCCAGCAGGCACATCCCAGCATGCGCATGTCCCAGCAGGCGCGCGTCCCAGCAGACACGTGTCCCAGCAGGCACGTGTCCCAGCAGGCGCATCCCAGCATGCGCATGTCCCAGCAGGCGCGCGTCCCAGCAGGCGCGCGTCCCAGCAGGTGCATCCCAGCAGGCGCGTGTCCCAGCAGGGGCGTGTCCCAGCAGGCGCGTGTCCCAGGCCTCACTCCTCTAGGGCAGGTGGAGGTGTCCCCAGGCCTGGAGCTGAGGCCCAGTGACGATGACACCATCTGCCCATGACTAGAGGGGGGTGCTAGGATGGCACCCCAGCCTCCCCGCCTCCTCCCAGGGCGCCACTCACTCTCCAGGTACTTCTGCACCAACACGTCAGGGTCGCTGTCCCCGGTGAGCTGGGACAGTTTTTTCAGGGCGTCCTCATAGCGCAGCACCAGCTTCTCCTGGGAGGTCTTCCGGACGCCTTCCAGGGCTGGGGGACAGGGAGCAGTGAGCTCAGCCTCCTGCGCGGCCACCAGCGCAGGGGCCACCTGGGCTCAGCCCCTGCCCTCTGCAGACCCTGCCGGGGACCCTGGGGTGCCGGGCCATGGGAGGCGGAGGCCCGGGCCTCACCGCGTTTTTCTCGCTTCGCCACGACAGCAGGATCCGGCTGCCGGTCATTGTTCTTGAGCTTGAGGAAGCGGTGCAGCTGCTCCAGGTGCGCTATCTGCCGCAGCAGGATCTGCGTGTCCGTCTCGTTCTGGGCCACCTCCTTCTCCGTCCGCTCCCGAAGCATGCCCATCTTGGCCTTCGCCTCCTCCCTGGGGGGAGGTCAGCCCAGGGTCAGGAAGACCGGAGGCTGGATTGGGGTCAGCCTGGGGACCAGGGATGGGTGGGGTCAGCCTGAGGTGGTGGGAGATGGGCAGCGTCAGCCTGGGGTCACAGGAACGGGGCAGAATCAGGTCACAGTGACCCCTGTGGTCACAAAAAGCAGAGACCTTTCCAGGTTCCCAGAGCTGGGTCAGGATGGCGTTTGGGAGCTGAGTTAGGGCCGAGGTGCCAGGCCCTGCAGGGGCAGGATGGCCTTGCCCACAGACAGGCATGGCTGGCGTGCAGGCATGGGGGCATCTAGGAGGCCGGGCACTCTGATGTCACCGATGGAGCAGGAGGCAAGATGGCGACAGTGGCACAGCAAGAGATCATGGCTAGACCCACCAGGTTGACAGGGTCATTGTGCTGGAGTTTGGGAGTCATGTGGTTGGAAATATAAGAGGCTTGGACAGTCCAGGGCCTCACAAGTGTAGGTAGGTGACATCACCACCACTTGAGCGCATGCCCTGCTAGGATATTCAGGACACTCTAGAAGCCTCGCTCATTGAACATCCCCTGTCCCACTCGATTGAAAATGTAGATTTTTAAACTTTTAAACATAGTGTGGCCAACTGTAAATTCAGAGTACTCCAAGCCTAAAGCTCTAGAGACAGGGGCTGGCCGGACAGTCCAGCCCTGACGCCTGCCCCTCTCTTTTAGCTGAAACCTCCCTGTCCCTGCACCCAGCCGGGCTGCCCACAGCATCCACTGGAGGAGGGCTGGCAGAGGCTAGTTCCTGACGATGCACAAACCAGCCAGCAGGCTGTCCCCTGTGGGACTGGCCAGGCCAATCACATTCCCTCTTGGAATTTGAATGAGGAAATGCTAAGAATGAGACAGCAGGAATATATAAAAAGAAGCTGGGAAAGGTCATGATGAGGCCAAGCTATGAAGAAACTGAAGCTGTGTTTGAACGGGCCCCTGAGGGATCCTGCAAGACCAAAGGTACGAAATCACAGAACCGGCCACGAAGAGCAATGAAGTACTAACGCACGCCACAGCGCAGGTGGACCTCAAAATCGTCACACCCAGTGAAAGACGCCAGACACAAAAGGTCACATATTGTATGATACCATTTATAGGAAATGTGCAGAATAGGCAAATCCATAGAGACAGAAAGGAGACGAGTGGTTGCCAGGGGATTGGGGAAGGGGGGAAGGGAGAGGGGCTACTAAATGAGTACAGGTCTCCTTTTGGAGGGATGAAAACATTTCGGATCTAGATAGAAGCAGTAGTTGCACAACACTGTGAATGTACCAAATGCTGCCGAATTGTGCACTTTAGAATGGTGGATTCTGTTATGTGCATTTTAACAAAGAAAGAAAAAGGGGAGGAGAGAGAGAGACAGAAAGAAAGGTAGGGAGGGAGGAAGGGAGGGGAAAGAAATCACAAAAACCATAAGATGGACCTGGGCTATACCTGATGTCACGAGGACACAGGAACCTCGTGACAGAAGCCGTGGGTAGAAACCAGACACCGAGCAGAAGGTAGGAAGGCATCTGGAGCAAGAAGAGAACAGGGCTGGAGCAGAGGTGGAGTGAGAGAGAGAGAGAGCTCGCTGAGAGCTGCACCTAGGGCGGCTTCGGCTCCTCTGTTGCTTATCTGAAGGTGGCCCGAGAGAAACTCAGTCCTTTTCAACCCAGGCTGATAAGCAACAATCCAATTATTCTCATTCTCCAGATGCTTCCTGGGTTCCAGGCCCCCTGCTCCGTGCACCATGTGTGCATCATCTATTTAATGCCCTCTACACCCCCATGTGCTAGGCGCCGCTAACAGATGGGGTCCACAGAGATTAACTCGCACGCCCAAGGAACAAGACCTTGTCCACTGAGTTGGGAAATCAGTGGGGGGGAGAGAGAAAGGGGCACCAGATATGGGGGGGAAAAATAGGTTCTGTCATCTATTTCTTGAGTCCTGAACCTTCCCGTCACTGCCTTACGAAAAGGCACATCCCAAGTCACCTGGGCCACCCCGGATGCCTGGCAGGCCCTACCTGACAACGTAGGCAGAGGTGGAGGAAACAATGAGGGCGCTGATCATCTGCCGCAAGCGGTGGATCTCCTGAAAGAGAGAGGACAAAATCAACGCCGCTTCTTACAGTCTCATCACTCTAAGTTTTTCCATTAGGCCCCACACTTCCCCAATAAGAAGTGAAATCTAGGCTGGGCGCGGCGGCTCACGCCTGTAATCCTAGCAGTCTGGGAGACTGAGGCAGGCATGTTGCTCCAGGTCAGGAGTTCGAAACCAGCCTGAGCAAGAGCGAGACCCCGTCTCTACTAAAAAACAGAAAGAAATTAACTGGCCAACTAACATATAAAGAAAAAAATTAGCCGGGCATGGTGGTGCATGCCTGTAGTCCCAGCTACTCGGGAGGCTGAGGCAGGAGGATCGCTTGAGCCCAGGAGTTTGAGGTTGCTGTAAGCTAGGCTGACGCCAGGGCACTCACTCTAGCCTGGGCAACAGAGCAAGACTCTGTCTCAAAAAAAAATTAAATTAAATTAAAATAAAATAAAAAAAGAAGTGAAATCTGAGCCTTCCAAATGTGGATGCTCCTCAGTATCAGCTGCCCATGAAAGGGACTGCATTTTCTGGTTTGTATGTTTGTTCATTTGTAGCAGGGTCTCGCTCTGTTGGCCCGGCAAGAGTGCAGTGGCACAATCATAGTTCACTGCAGCCTCAAAGCCCTGGGCTCAAGCGACCCTCCTGTCTCAGCTCTCTAGTATCTGGGACTACAGGCGCACGCCACCACGCCCAGCTAATTTTTCATCTTTTGCAGATCCAGGGTCTTGCTCTGTTGTCCAGGCTGGTCTCAAACTCCTGGCCTCAAGTGATCCTCCTATCTCAGCTTCCAAAGTGCTGGGATTATGGGTATGAGCCACCGTCCCTGGCTAGATTTTAAAGAGGCATGAAGTAAGACGAAAGTCACATTTATAAGCTGGAAACATGGCTTAGAAGGCTCATTTGGGGGAAAATGCTTAACCTGAAATACTCCTAAGACTAACTTTCTTGTCAAGTGCAGAAATTTGTGTGAATTTTATCACTGTGACTACACTGTTCTGTTTTCTATTTCCATGGAAATATCTTTGCAGTGTTATGTGTAAAAAGGGTTATTCAGGACAAAGGGAGCAAATTATATATATATATCTATGTATGTATGCACACACACATATATATACAGATATATAAACACACATGTATGTGGGCACACACACACATTTGTTTTTGCAAAAAGAGACCCAAAACAAGCTCTGAGCAGTGGCAGTCTCATAGCTAGTGGAGGTTTATGTGAGGCACAATTACTGCTAATTGAACATTTCTCAATACCTCACCATGACAACTTGAAATATAGTCAGCATTGGCAATTTCTGACTGAAAAAAAAAAAAAAGAAAGAAATTCAAAATGGATAACCAGAAACTAAGGAAATAAGCAATCTATAGGGACCTGGTGGGAACAAAGTAGAAGAGATAAAGAAATGATGTTTCTCTAGGATACCTTTTGGAAGAGTTTGGATTTGGGAGCCTTGCTAATGTTTTGCATATTCAAAAAGGAAACGAAGTCAACAAAGATAGGAGAGAAAACTAAAACTGAATACAAATGGAAGCAAGTGAATTTAACCGTATTTCAAATGGAGAACATAACCACACATCACTAGTTATGGGACAAAGTGACATCCAGTGCTTCCTGATACACATGCACAGAAAGACTTTCCACCAAAAATTCGGGTGCAGGCCAGGCGCGGTGGCTCACGCCTGTAATCCTAGCACTCTGGGAGACCGAGGCAGGCGGATTGCTCGAGGTCAGGAGTTCGAAACCAGCCTGAGCAAGAGTGAGACCCCCCCTCTCTACTATAAATAGAAAGAAATTGATTGGCCAACTAATATATATAGAAAAAATGAGCCGGGCATGGTGGCGCATGCCTGTAGTCCCAGCTACTCGGGAGGCTGAGGCAGCAGGATTGCTTGAGCCCAGGAGTTTGAGGTTGCTGTGAGCTAGCCTGACACCATGGCACTCACTCTAGCCTGGGCAACAAAGTAAGACTCTGTCTCAAAAAAAAAAAAAAAAAAAAATGCAGGTGCAGAATCTAATCAGATAAACCCATCCTGGGGGGACATCATACAACACAACTGGCCTGGATGCTTCCAAAATGTCAACGTCATAGGGAGAAAAAAGGAGGCTGAGGGGCTGTTCCAGATGAACAGAGCCAGGACAACTAAAGGCATCGTGGCAGTCTGGATCGGAGCCCGGAGCAGGAAAATCAGATTAGCTACAAAGGACATCGTTGGGACAGTCGTTGAACTTGAAATATGGACTGTTTAGAATTCTAACAACATTAAAGTTCCTGACTTGGATAATCGCACTGTGCTTGTGTAAGAAAATGGTGGTGATCTTAGAAAATACACAGAAGTACTTAGGAACGCAATGTCTGCAATGTACTATCAAAGGGTTCAGCAATCTATAATAATAAATTATTTCCAGCAAAATATTACACACACACACATACAGAGAAGGAAAGAAAGAGGGAGTGAAAGAGAGAGTAAACATGGCAAATTATAAATCTTGGTGAAAGATATGTAGGAGTTCTTTGTATAATGCATGCACCTCTTCTGTGAGTTTGAAATTATTTCAAAATAATAATCAAAGAGCAGGGAAGCTGGTTCTTCAAAGGACTTCAAAGCTTATTAAGAGACCTGCGGAATGTAAATGGTCTTGCTAGCTTAAGGCTGCCCTTGGTGATATTATTCAAAATGACATCTGTGCTTTCTGCAAATGTAAATGAGGCTACTTTCTTTGCGAGAGGTGTCCTCCATTTCCCAGGTCTCCATGCTTTCTGGACTAAAACAATCCTACGGCTCCAGTCGATTCCTTGAGGTCTCAGTGCTGGAGCAGGAAGGGCAAACAGCTGTGGGGAGGGCCTAGGTGAAGGTCCCTCCTCTGGGTTTTGAGGCCACTGACCTTCTTCAACTTGCGGTCCATGTTCAGATAGCGGTTCCTCTCGATTCGCAGCAGTTCCAGCTCCTCCCGCAGGGTGGCATTTCGTGCCAGCTGGATGTCAAAGTGACAGGTGACCTGGGGTAGAATGGGATGGAAGAGTCTGTCTGAGGCCTAACCTGCCTTCCTCCTCCACACTCAGCCGAGGAGGGACATTTGTCAGAGATGGGGCCACCCCCTTTCCTCTTTGGGGGTCCCAAGAGCAACATCCACCCACTTCAAATGACCCATCAATCTTTTTTTCCGAGGGACCCTCCATCCGTCCAGGATCACGCACACACACGTGCGCACACACGCACACACACGCACGCACACACACACACTATCCAGCATTTCTAGAACCTAACGCCTATGCTGAGTTCCTCCCCTGACCCCAAAGTTCAGGCGTGGAGACAGACAAGAGCCTGCCTGACCCTCACCCTGTCCACCTGGTCTTCTAGGAACTTGATCCTTCGTCGGATCTTGCATTTCCGATTCAGGATGAATGCTGGGGCCTTGGCTTCCTTACTGTGGGTAAAGATCCGGTTCTCCCACTCCTGGATCTAGAAGAAAGAGGATGTCTGTTGCCTGAATGTGCGAGAGATTGAATGGCCGAGGGAAGACGAGTGACTGAGTGTGGCTGACATCTGCTGTCCCTGTGGCCTCAGAATCTCTTCCGCCCTTCTGCTGACAGTACCCAGCGCTCCATGTGGTTCCGGCGGGGATTCCATCCACAACATACCACCCTGCCGGCCGGCCACGTGACCCAGGTCTGGACAAGCACAGTGACTGGCCTAGAGGTGGACATGTGACCTAAGCAGAGCCAGCCTGGCTCCTTTGCAGGTACTTTGGGGGAAGCACATGACATGGAAGGATGGGATTCCAACACTTCCAACACATGAAGGATCCCGGGAGAACAAGGCTAGTGGAGATAAGAGCGTGAGAGTTGGTAAGAATGAGTCTGATGGCATTCGAATCCCTGGGTCTGCTTATGCCTGAACCCACCTTCCAATCCGTCCTCCCATTTCTATACTCATCTGTGCCTATGCGGGGAACGCTCTGTCCTCCCAGCCAAACTGGAGGCTCCGTCAGACACAGAGTGGGTCCTCAACAAAACGCGCAGACTAAATGAATAAGTGAATTGCTTAACACTGTTTCCCCATTTGCTATGGGCTGAATCGTGTCCCTAAAAAAACTTATATGTTGAAGTACTAACCCCCAGTACCTTAGAATGTGACCTTATTTGGAGACAGGGTCTTTACAGAGGTAATCAAGTTAAAAAGAGGTCATTAGAGGCCGGGCGCGGTAGCTCACGCCTGTAATCCTAGCTCTCTGGGAGGCCGAGGCGGGCGGATCGTTTGAGCTCAGGAGTTCGAAACCAACCTGAGCAAGAGCGAGACCCATCTCTACTATAAATAGAAAGAAATTGATTGGCCAACTAATATATATGGAAAAAATCAGCCGAGCATGGTGGTGCATGCCTGTAGTCCCAGATACTCGGGAGGCTGAGGCAGGAGGATCGCTTGAGCCCAGGAGTTTGAGGTTGCTGTGAGCTAGGCTGATGCCACGGCACTCACTCTAGCCTGGACAACAGTGAGACTCTGTCTCAAAAAAAAAAAAAAAAAAGAGGGCATTAGGGCAGGCCCTAATCCAATATGACTGATGTTCTTATAAAAAGGGCAAATTTGGACACAGACACGCACACTGGGAGGCACCATGTGAAGATGAAGGCAGAGATCAGGTGATGCATCCACAAGCCAAAAGTACCACAAACTGCCAGCTGCCCTTAAGTAGGATGCACAGACCTGGTCTCAGAACCCACCTGCTTGTCCAGGTCTCTGTTCTTCTCCTTCAGCTCCTCGATCTCAGCCTGCGCATGCTCCTGGCACTTCAACAGCTGGTCCATGTTCTCCACCCGTTTACTGTCCTGAAGCCGCTTGCCCTGGCTCTGAGCAACACCGATCTGCACCTGGAGCTTGGCCCGCAGGTCTTCCAAGCGCTGGATCTCCTCACTGCCCAGGCAGGGTGGTAGAAGAGAGAGGCCAGCAAGGGGGCAAAACTCAGCATCACTAAAGGTGGGCACGCTGCCCTGCCCCCCCATTGAGACCCAGGAGTCCGGCCCCCAGCCCCTTTAACACTGTCTTCCCCAGCTGGGGGGAGGAGGGGAGCCCAGGTGCACAGCTCACAGTTGCTTGTTGATGCGCTGGCGGACTTCCCTGCTGTAGGCCCTCCTCTCTCCCTCCATCACCTTGCATTGTCGCTGCAGTCTGCTCAGCTCCCAGTCCACTGAGACCAGGGCCAGGCAAAGGACTCAGTAAGGATCGGGGCTGCCAGCCCGCTCCTCCCCCCAGGACCTAGGCGTTCTATTCCTTTAGCGTTTCACAAACTGCAACTGAACTGCAGACCCAGCCCCCAACATGCCTGGAGGACTGCATCTTAGCCTCTGTGTCCCTCGTCCCTTCATACGCCAAGATGACCTCACGTTCTGTTCCCTAAAACCCACTCCCATTCTGGGTTTAAGGATATATCTATTTCCCCACCAGAGGGCACTTCTGGAAGGCCTCTTGGTCCTCTGAGAACTGAGGCACAGGACCTGGAACTTGGGGAAGCTCTCGATCCATCCCCTTCTGCCCTCCCCTACACGGTCAGCAGCCCTCAGCCCCATCCTCTTGCCTCCTCCCTCTCTCAGCCAGTCCCCGGGCGCAGGCCCCATCCCTTCCTGTCTGGACCATCATCCCAGCCCTCTCCTCAACTTGCAGCCTCCTCTCACAGTCCCTAAGGGTCTTTCTATGCCCAGAGTGGACCCTCCCCTGCTCACAGTGCCCCAGTACCCTTCAGGACAAAGTCCCAGCTCCTCAGCCTGGCGTTCAAGGCCTCAAGTGACCTGACCCTACCCACCTCTCCAGCTTTGCCCACCAGCTTCCCACCTCCCTAAGGGCCAGTGGTTCTCGACCAGGGGGACATTTTGCCCCCGTGAGCATTTTGCAAGGTCTGGAGGCCTTTTTGATTGTCACAACTTGTGCGGAAGGGGGAGTGCTACTGGTATCTAATAAGCAGAGGCCAGGGATACTGCTTGGCATCCTACAAAGCACAGAACAGCCCCCACAACAAAGAATTATCCCACCTCAAGAGTCAACAGTGCAGAGGCTGAGAAAGCCTACTCTAGCCACACACGGTTCTCTCTGCAGAAACACCCTTCCCTTCCTTCTCCCCTTAGCAATTCCTGGAAGTAGTTCTGGGCGCCATTCAAACTTTCGCTGCCTGAAGTCTTCCTGGCCCGGCCCACTGCCCAGGCTTGGCCCGCTCACGGTGGCGCCCCGCGACACCTCCATTCAGGCACATGCCTGTCCCCCACTAGAGGGCGCTCCTGGAAGGCCTCTCTGTCCCCAGGGCCCCGACCCACAGGACCTGGAAATGTGTGAATGAAAGCAAGAATGTGAATTACCCTGTCCTTCCACAAAGCCCTCGCTTCCCTCCTCGGAGCGGGCGCTGCCTGGCGAGATTCGCAAAGGCATCTTGGCCAAAGAGGGCGAGGCTCCTGCAGGGGCCAAGTCAGGACACTCTGGACAGCCGGCAGGCGAGGGCCGGGAGGAGGCGGGGCGATGAACTGCAAGGGGCTGGGAATTGAAAGAGGGTGACACTAGAACCACGCTGGCCTCCCTCTGAGTCTCAATTCCTCCAAGGGATTGGAAGAGGACGTCTCTCAGGCCTCTCCCCACACCCCTCCTGATCTCCCACCTCTCACATTCTCTGTCTTGAGCCTTGGCTCCGACTCTGGCGCAGGGCGGGGGTGGGGAGACAGATCTCTTGGGGTCTCGGTATCTCCGAGGTCGGGCTGTTTGGTCACAGAGGAGGGGGAACCGGCCAGCTGCAGGGGAGCACCGGGAGCAGGGCCAGGGCCCTACCTGCTGCAGTGCCTGACCTGTCCTTGGTGCTCCAAGCTCACTGTTGTGGTCTGGTTACCGGGGAGATAAGGAGCCAATGAACCCTGAGGACAGCGACCGGGGAGGGGCCCAGGCCGTGGGGAGAGGGTGAGAGAGGAGGAACCGAGGAGGCTGCGGGTAGAAGACCTGAGGGGTTCTTGGGGACTTAGAACTGATGGGCAGGGGTGCCCTCTGAGGGGCGGGGCTAAGGGGACCTGCGAGGGGCGGGGCTGAGAAGGCCGGTAGGGAGAGGGGCAGGAATGTCAAGGGGCTTGGGGGGGCTGGCGAGGGACAGGCACGGGCACCTGTAAAGGGAGGGTCTGGGGAGGCTGGCAAGGGACAGGCACGGGCACCTGTAAAAGGAGGGGTTGGTGGGGGCTGGCGAGGGACAGGCATGGGCACCTGTAAAGGGAGGGGGTTGGGGGGGCCTGGCGAGGGACAGGCCTGGCCACTGTAAGGGAGGAGCGTTGGGGGGGTCCTGGCGAGGGAAGGCACGGGCACCTGTTAAAAGAGCGGGTTGGGGGCTGGCGAGGGACAGGCACTGGCACCTGTAAAAGAGGGTGGGGGCTGGCGAGGGACAGGCACGGGCACTGTAAGGAGGGGTGGGGGGCTGGCGAGGGACAGGCACGGGGCACCTGTAAGGAGGGGCTGGGGGGCTGGCGAGGGGCAGGCACGGGCACTGTAGAGGGAGGGGCTGGGGCTGGCGAGGGACAGGCACGGGCACCTGTAGAAGGGAGGGCTGGGGGGCTGGCGAGACAGGCACGGGCACTGTGAAGGGAGGGGCTGGGGGCTGGCGAGGACAGGCACGGGCACTGTGAGAGGAGGGGCTGGGGGGCTGGCGAGGCACAGGCACGGGCACTTGTGAAGGGAGGGGCTGGGGGCTGGCGAGCGGACAGGCACGGGCACTGTGAAGGGAGGGGCTGGGGGGGCCTGGCGAGGGACAGGCATGGGCACTGTGAAGGGAGGGGCTGGGGAGCCTGGCGAGGGACAGGCACGGGCACTGTGAAGGGAGGGGCTGGGGGGCCTGGCGAGGGACAGGCACTGGCACCTGTAAAATGAGGGGTTGGGGGGCTGGCGAGGGACAGGCACGGGCACCTGTAAAGGGAGGGGCTGGGGGGCTGGCGAGGGACAGGCACGGGCACCTGTAGAGGGAGGGGCTGGGGGGCTGGCGAGGGACAGGCACGGGCACTGTGAAGGGAGGGGCTGGGGGGCCTGGCGAGGCACAGGCACGGGCACTGTGAAGGGAGGGGCTGGGGGGCTGGCGAGGCACAGGCACGGGCACTGTGAAGGGAGGGGCTGCAAGGGTCGTGTTTGGAAGGATTTACGAGAAGCCTGGCGGGAGGCCGGTGAGGGGCGACCTGAGCGTGCCAGGAGGACGCTGGCTCCAAAGACGGGGGAGGTGCGGGCTAATCGGGAGGCGCGCAGGCTAGGAGGGCCTGGGGGCGGCCGGGATGGTCTGTGTGGGGAGCACAGGGCTTTGAGGGGCTCAGGAGTGTCGCGGGCCCGTGAGCGACCGGCTGTGTGTTTCCAAGAGGGAGAGGCAGGAGCCGACAGGGCCTGCAGGGAAACGCCCGGGCTGTGGGTCCGAGAGGTGCCCGTCTCTGGCAGAGCGAGACCACGTTATTTTAAGGATTCGTTAGCAGGGAAGCGGTGCCGAAGCAGGGAGTTGTGAGAGGAAGGAGCGCTCACCACCGCCTCAGTGCCTCAGCAGCGGTTCACTACGCATGCGCCGCCAACGGCCTGTGGCGAAGCCTCCAAAAACCCTAGGCCGCCTACCGCGTCCGCGCACTGGAAGGCGGAAGTGGGCGGGGCCTTGGGCCCTCCGTGCCACCCCCGCCTTCCGGCCACGCCCCTTGCCTGCTCACACCCTGGCTCTGCAGGGCACGCCCACTTCGCGGCGGGCAGCTGCCCACGTGGGCATCCCCGGGGTGGGCGGGCGAGCAGTGGGCTCTTCTCCCTTCTGGCTGGGTGTGCCGACGCCTGCGGTTTCCTGTGGGAGGAAGCGGCCCGCGGACGCTCAGCTCAGCTCGTAGCCTCAGAGGCCCAGGAGGGGGAGCTCCCGCCACCGCCCTCGGATTCCGTGATTCTCCCCTGTCCACAGGGCCTTAGGTTGGGGACCTCCCAGAACATCCCCAGGGTACCCAAGTCTGGCGCTGATTCCACTCTGGGAACTTGACTCCGACTCCTAAACCCTCTGTTCACCTCCCCATTTCAAGTTACGATCTCCCTATCCCCTGGGTACCCCAACTCCTCCCAAGACCAGAGTAGACCCCGTTTTCCAGCACCCCAAGAGGCACACATGACCCCCTCTGGCCCCTGATTTTTCCCGCAGTGACTGACCCAGACTTCCAACTTCCTTGGGGATCCGAGTTCAGACCCCCAGTCCCTGTTCTTCTCAGAGACTTAAGTTTGGGACTATTTATTCGCCTCCCCGGGAACTTTGATTTTGGATTCCCAACTTTAGCTTTGAGACCCAGTGGACCCAAGAATTTGTTCCTTCCCCAATTCCTAGAGACTCTGAACCAGGGTCTTCCAGAACTGACTCCACTCAGGGCCCCAGTGCCTGATATAACTAGCACTAGGGATTAGAGTTAAAAGGGAAAAATTTTTTTTTAAATAACTACCACATACAGTACCGACTGTGTGCCAAGCACTGCTCTAAGAACTACCCTATGATGTATTTACTAGTAATTCTATTTTACAGATGAAGAAACTGAGATAGAGACGTTACTTGGCCCAAATCACACAGCCAATGAGTAAAGCAGCTTGGATTTGAATCCAGCCAGTCTGGCTCTAGAGTCTGTGCTGGTACCCCAGATTCTAGGTCCCTCAGGTACACACCCATCCACTGACTTGTCCATCCTTCACCCCCCTCAGAGAGCCCAGAGCCCTAACAACTAATCCACATCCAGCTCTGGCCCCATCAGATACCCAGACATCCCATCATCCAGTTCCCTTCCCTTGCAGGGACCCAGGGTTTGACCCCGGCTCACAATTCATCAAGACCCTGGACACCTGGTCCCCTCCCAAGAGGCCTGGGTGCATAGTAGTTATCACCCCCCCATCCTAATTTAATATCCCAGGAATAAATAATAATAGTTAATATTAAGTCCCTGCTTCTGTTAAAACCTCCGATGGCTTCCCACGGCACTTCGAATAAAATCCAAATCCTCCCCTAGTCTTCAAGGGCACCCTTTGATTTTCCTTCCCGCCACTCCCTCTGGCTCCCTCTGCTCCAGCCACACTGGCCCTTCTGTCTGCTCAGCAAACAACCTGAGTTTGTTCTCAGGAGTCTTTGCACTTCCTATTCTCCCTAGCATTCAGATGACTCCAGTCTTCAGGTCTCAGCTCAAATATCACCTCCTCCAAGAGTCCTTCCCCATTACCTTGTTTCAAGTAGTCTCCCCCATCCATTATCTCCATTGCTTTGTTTTATTTCCTTCAAAACACTTACCATTATCTCAAATTTGTCTTCATCATTGATATGTTTTCTTTTTATTGTCTGTCTCCCTCTACTACCAGATAAGCTCCATAATAACAGCAGGACTCATGTCTGTTTCTTCATTATTAACTCCTGGATCATAGTAAATATTCAATAAATGTTTGATAAAGGAAGGAATGAATGGGTGTGTTTGTGTACTGGTATTACCTTATTTATTCAGAATAAGTATCAGAATTATTGTTGTCAGTATTAGTATATTGTTGGTATTATTATACCCACTACACAGATTAGGAATCTGAAGCTTAGAGAGGTGAAATAATTTACCCAAGGTCATTCTGCATTCTGCCAGAAAATGAAAGCAATGCCACCTCCTGCCCCCTTCCAAAGTTTCATACATTTTATCTCCCAGCCCCTGACCCCTAACCTGGGGTCAGCTCCACCAGCCCCAAGCCCAATCTGTGCCTCAAGAATCTAGCTTCCTCCCCCAGATTCCTATTCAGCTCCAAGCTCCATCAAGGAAAGCAGGCAGCCTGTCCCATGGCAAGACCTAGAGACCCAAGGGCCTGAAAATTGGGTCCTCCCACCCATGACACTTGCCCCACTCCAGAGCCCCATTCCAGGAATTTCTCATCTCAACCCTGGAAGGAGCCCCAGAAGATGTCTGTCTGGGGGCATTGGGTGGGGGCCCAGAAAAAGAGGAACCGGAGTGCCTGAGCCCTCCCCCTGGCAGCCGACCTCAGCTGGGCGCGGTAAGGGTGGGTATAAAAGGGTCAGTATATATTGAGAGGAGTAGAGAAAGAGAGAAGAGAGAGAGGAGGCCTAGGCAGTGTGGGCAGGAGAGAGAGAAAAGAGGCAGAAGGAGAGAGAGAGAGAGGGTTCCGGGATTGGAGGGGACAGCGAGGGAGGGAGGAAGGCGGCGAGGGAGGCGGGGGCCTCAAGAGAGTGGAAGGAGGGGAGAAGGGCGGGGCACGGAGGCCCAAGCGAGGGAAGAGACTCCAACTCTGACTTTTTCCGCGGCTCTCGGTAAGTTTCCAGTCCGTTATTCAGGCTGGGATTTCTTTCTTTAATTAACTTGGGAGTGTGGCAGTTTGGGAAGGACACCCCCAGGATGACAGAGACACCCCCCCCCACTCTCAGCCCACATGAAAATTCTTGTAATTTAAGAAGTGATCTCTTAGCACTTGGGGTGGGGATACGGTAAGGGGTGGGGCCCGGCAAGATTTTAGGGTCCCAGGAGAGCTCCCCACTGGAAAAATTCCTGCAGTTTTTCCCCGGGGGAGGGGGGTCCACTCTCCTCTGAGAGCCCATAGATCAGAGCTGTGCATGAGAACACCCCAAGTCTGGAACCTCTAGCTCCCCTGTTTCTGGACACTGAAGGGTTGTGGGAGGCTGGCTCCTTCTTCTCAGGCCTCTCTCCACCCCCAGCACAGCTCCCATCCCTTTCCCGAGGAGGTGTCGGGCAGGCAGCCTGGCAGCTGGGTGGGGTGAGGACCTCATGGACATAGCCAGGGGCTGGGGTTTCCTGGGTGGTTGGAGGCAGAGGGGTGCGATGAGTCACCAGATGACTCACCGGGTCCCCCTCCTCCCCCCACCCCGGAGAGGAGTGGTGTGAGTCAAGGATGCCTGTCGCTGGGGGCAACGCCTAGCTCCTGATAAATGGGGGAGAGAAGGGGGTCGCGGAATCCACTTGAATTTTCATGATCTGACCCGCATGTGCCCAGAGACAGGGCTCTGAGGAGAGAGGAGCCACAGCGCTAGCCCTACTTATTGGAGGACCCCAAGAGTCCATCTCTGGCCCTCTCCAGCCCTAAGCCCCTGGGGAACACAGGAATCCAGGCCCCAGCCTCTTCCTCCCTGACGGCCCCAAGAGTCCAGGCCCCTGCCCTCTCCTCCCTCAGACCCAGGAGCCTGGACCCAGCTGCCCACTCCATCAGGACTCGGGCTTCTCACCTGCCTCTGTGCTAACCTCCATTTCCTGACTACCCTTCCCCAGACCGCCACCGCAGCCATGTCGCTCCTCCTGCTGGTGGTCTCTGCCCTGCACATCCTCATTCTCATTCTGCTCTTCGTGGCCACTTTGGACAAGGTAAGCCTACTTGTAGCTCGGGCCTTCTGCGGTCCTGCAGGCGCCCGCCACGCCCCTCCTCGAAAGTCACTCCGGCCCCGCCCCCGTCCCCTGGCACCGGCCGATTCAGCCCTACCTCTGATGCCTCGCCCCTGCCCTTCCCCCTGGCCACGCCCTTTCCTCCTAAATCCAAGCTCTCCCCAGTTCTGCCCCTTCCCAGTGAACCTCGCCCTTTTCCTAACCCTTCCCACAGTCCGCCTGATCCCACCCACTTTCCTTTCCTAATCCTGCCCCTGTTTCGTGGTCCATCCCAGTCCTGGTGGACTCTCCCCGGGAAGGAGTCCCTGAATCTCTGGTATGACTGCACGTGGAACAACGACACCAAAACGTGGGCCTGCAGTAACGTCAGCGAGAATGGTGAGGGGTGAGGGGCAGAGGGACTGGTCTGCAAAGGGGAGGGGAAACCCCAAGTCTCCACATGGCACCACGGCCTAGGAACCCCCGGAGTTTCAGTGGGCGGGGTGCGAGCCCGAGTGGCCGCGTGGGTGGGGTTGATGCGTGCCCACTATCTGGAGGTGGGCAGTAAGTCCCTGTTCTAAAGGAAATCTCCTTATGATTCAGAAAGGGTGAAGGCCACATGCCATAGGTTTAAGGAATGCAGAGAAAGCTCCCAAGATTCTGAGAACAGAAGATTGTTTCCAAAGTTCTAAGGAGATAGAGATGGTGTTCTCAGAGGACGCTTGGGACCAATTCGTCCAAGTTCCAAGGAGGTGGGGCTAGAACCACATTGGTTCTAAAGGGGTGGGGCCAGATGCTTCTGAGTTCTGAAGGAATGGAGCTGTATCCATCTAAAGTTCTAAGTGAAACGAGGGGAAAGATGAAGTTGCTTTCCCCTAAGATTAAAGCAAGTGGTCTGCTGCCACCACTCGATGCAGCATTCTACTGGAGGTAGCCAATGCAACAAGGCAAGAAAAAGAAGTAAAAGGCATGGGAAAGGAATTGGTAAAAAGTGACTCTATTCCCAGTAAATATGTTTGTTTACATAGAAAATCCTAAAAATTCTGCGAAGCAACTACTGGAACTGATAAAGGAATTTACACGGTTACAGGGCTCAAGGTCAATATAAGTGATGCTCCTAAGTGTCTAAACTTGTACCGCGCTAAATAGGAGAGGGGGAAGGGAAGAAGTGGCATATGATGAACAAACAGGTGGGGCTGGAACTCTGGGCCCCCTGTGACTTCTGCCTCTATGCCTTCCCTACTGCAGGCTGGCTGAAGGCGGTGCAGGTCCTCATGGTGCTTTCCCTCATCCTCTGCTGTCTGTCTTTCATCTTGTTCATGTTCCAGCTCTACACCATGCGGAGAGGAGGTCTTTTCTACGCCACTGGCCTCTGCCAGCTTTGCACCAGTGAGCACTCCCCCCACGCCACCCCAAGAATTGAGGGGAAGGGAGGGGGTGTGTCAGGATGCTAGGTGCCCAGAGAATATGGAGATCTGATGTGAGAAAACAATTTCCAACAGCCGCAAAACCACAGGAGTGCCTCCCTACCCTGCCTCTCTGTCCCAGGGACTGATGGGAGTTGTAGTTTTCAGTGACTCCGTGGTGGTCGAGGCATGGGTGTGAGTCGTGGGGGCACTGGCATGGGGGTAACGCAGGGCTTCAAGGAGCCAGGGCTGGGGAAGGAGATATAGGTAAATAATTTGGGTCCCATGCATGGTGGGGGGGTAGCTAATACTCCAGAAGAGAGCTCTGAATCATAGTAGCAATGGTATTTGTGTCAGCCAGGTCCTATTTCTTGTGTACCTACTGTATATCAGACACTTTAGGGAGTTTTGTTTACTTTTTAATTTTTTTACTTAAAAAATTAAAGGGCTAAGTTAATCATAGTACTCAGTTTTGGGAGTACTATGTTTTGGGAACATTATCGTCCTAGGTTCCCCCAAAGCCCCTCCCTCGTTTTATTTTATTTACTAATTTAATTTAATTTTACTTATTTTTGAGACAGCGTCTCCCTCTGTCACCCAGGCTAGAGTGCAGTGGCACAATCTAGGCTCACTGCAACTTCCAACTCCTGGGCTCAAACGATCCTCTTGCCTCAGCCTTCCAGGAAGCTGGGACTACAGGCAGGCACCACCACGCTGGGCTAATTTTTTCTATTTTTAGTAGAGATGGGGGTCTCCCTTTTGCTCAGCCTGGTCTCCCTCTTGCTCAGGCTGATCTCAAACTCCTAAGCTCAAGCGATCCTCCCGCCTTGGCCTCCTAGAGCGCTAGTATTACAGGCGTGAGCCTCCGCGCCCGGCCCCCTTGTTTTATTAATTCACCACTGCAGGTTTGGCTTGTAGAAAAACACTCAAAAATACTCCTTGGAGGGATGGACAGATTATACCGTCCCGTTTTATGGAAGAACCAATGGTACTCAGATTAAGTCGCGCGAGGCCACCCTGCGGGAGCCGCACGGTACCGGGATGAGAACTGAAACCCCTAGCTGGCAGTGCTGCTGCCACCCACCCTCCGGCGCTGCTTTGTCCCACGCGCTGTTGGGAAGTGTAGTCTTGCGGGCACTGCGTGACGCGCCGTCCCGTTCTTTCGCAGGCGTGGCGGTGTTTACCGGGGCGCTCATCTATGCCATTCACGCCGACGAGATCCTGGCGAAGCACCCGCGAGGGGGCAGCTTCGGCTACTGCTTCGCCCTCGCCTGGGTGGCCTTCCCCCTCGCCCTGGTCAGTGGCATCATCTACATCCATCTGCGGAAGCGGGAGTGAGCGCCCCGCCTCGCCCTGGCGCCCCCACCCGCTGCTGGCCCCTCGGTCTCGCCCCAAAGCCCCCTGAGTCCTCCAGAAAATAAAACTGTTTAACTGCGGGCTCTGCCTTTATCTCCTTCCTTCCTTCCGCTCCCAGGGACCTAGGCTGCAAACGCCTGACCTCCCCTAAACTAAGGCGGGTCCCCCACCACCAGCCGCCCTGCCCTCAGAATGCCCACCTCCCAGCCCCTAGCCCCACCTCCCCACACAGGAGCCCGGAACCCCAGGCGCCTTTTCCCTCCCACAGGCCCAAGAGCCTGGGCTCCCCTCTCAGGACCCAGAAGGCCTGAGAGGCACCCGAGTCCACACCTACAGACACTTCTGGGGAAGAACCAGGAGTCTGGGTCCCAGCCCTGTTGGGATCAAGAGTAGGGAGTGTCCAGTCCTCTCCTTGCCCAAGGCTCTGTCACTCTGCCGAGCTCTCTGGGACCCTGGTGTTTCTAGATTGGGGGGGGGGGGTTTGTTTGTTTCTTTTTTAACTTTCTTTTTTTTGGGGGGGGGGGGTTTGTTTGTTTCTTTTTTAACTTTCTCTTTAACCCTCCTTCTGGAGTTTTCTTTTATTTTTGTTCCTCCCAACCCCCAAGTTTCCCAAGTTTCCCCTTTCCATCTTGGAAACCAGTCTCCCTTCTCTGGAAGACAACCCCTCCTTGTCTCCTCTCTTCCCAAAGGCTGCCTCTAGCCCATAGGACACCTTAGTAAAAGTCAGAAAGCATTCCCCTCCTCCTGGCCGACCCAGTGCCATTCCAGGGTGCATGTGGGGCACAAATCGGATTTTACAGCCACCCACTCCTTGGCTGTGTGCTTTGAACAAATTCGTGCCATGAACAAATCTGCACAACTGCACATGGCTATTGTCGCTCCTCTACCCATGAGACCGTGTGAACCAGGGCCTCTCCTCAGGAATCAGGTCCTTCTAACATTCTCCTCTGTGACCCTCTTCTTTTGCTTTATGAACCATGAACCCAGCCTCTCTCTAGGGCTACAGCGCTGTCTGGGATTTGTCTACATGCATTAGTATCCCCCATGAGATCCAGAGTCCCTTCTTTCCAGGGTTCTTCTGATGCCTTACCTCCAACTCCTGCAGCCACTCCACTCAACCAGATTTATTAAACATGATTTATTCCTTTAGGAGAGGGGACGGGGAGAAATTGATAGACCAATAAATAATTGCACAGACCACTAGCGGCGGGGAGATCCAGACCGAGGTAGTTTCTGTAGAAATGGTGAGGGACCAGGGCAAGGAAGGCACCTGAGGTTGTTGGGAGCCTGAGTGGCAGTGAGTCTTCGGGCCAGGGTGGTCTCTGTTTCCTCCAGATCCACAGATGTTACCTGGCACAAGGTTCCCAGCCCCTTCAGCCTGGACACCCTGATCAGCAGTTGACCAGATGGCCCGCCATATAAGCAGCAGCAATTTATAGAGAAAGATCAGGTTTCCTTTAGAAATTCCAATTGGTTGCTTCCCTGCAGCGACAACTGGCTGCCCAACGTTGATAGTGCCCAGCAGCCGTCATTGGTTGTTTGCCAGGAGGCAAAGCTGAAGGGCTTTCCAGGGCTGCGGGCTGGGGCCCGCCTTTGTGCACAAGATGGGCGGTTTGCCCGGAGCAGGCTAAAAAGACAATGTTATAGGAGTATAGCCTCAGGAGAGCACAGGATTAACAACCCTAATTGGTGGTTTGTAGAACCCGCAGCTGAACAGCTGTGATTGGCGGACACATCCTCAACTAAACTACGTTTGAAAATCTACGGTAAAGGTGGGTCTAAGAAATGGGCCAGAAGCAAAGCTAAATAGCTTTGATTGGCTGTTCATTAGAAGGGGCGGGGCCTAGCAACTGCTGGCTGCTTTGCTGATTGGCTGCTTTGCTTAAGCATACGGTGTAGCAAAAATAACTGCCTGTCAGTAATGGGAAGTCAGAGGCATAGTAACTGTGATTGACAGCTCGTCGTGAAGGAGGCGGGGCTTCGTTCCTAGCCAGGTGGCTGGGCCGGGCCGGGCAGCGAGGTTTCAGTCAAGGGTTGTTACTGCTGGGTGCAGCCTGGGGGAACTCGGAAGTGACTCTGGCCAACGGGTCTAGTCTGGGGAAACCCGGGGGTGGGTACAACCCCATGCTGGGAGTCAGAGCTTGCAGGTGGGCCAGGGCCCGAGTTCCGTTGAAGGCCACGTCACAGCCTGACTGGGCCAGGAGCCAGTTCTCCACCTCTGACTGGAGCCACTTGGAGGTCTCTGCAGGCGGGGAGGGAGGCAGGTGCCGTGAGATTAGACTAGGAAGGACTGGGAGGGGCCAGCGGAGAGGGGCATGGTTTGGGAGAAGCCTAGGGGTACACTTGCGGCTAGGAGGAGAGTGGAACAAGACCTAGAAGGCTCTAGAGGTCCAGAAGGCTCCGCTCTGGGGCTCTCGTTTGGACTCTGGTTCAGGTAAAGGTGTGGCTCGTGTAGGGAAGGGGACCCCTTGGGGCTCCCATAGGGAGCGGGACAAGGGTACTTGTAGGGAGAAAGTGGGCTCATATAGAGGAAGGATTATGGGGAGGGGTATGCCATGGATCCAATACCCCCAATGAGGCTGAGGTCAGAAGAGGGAGGTCACACCAGGAACCAAGATCGGAGGTTGGAATCGGGGATCCTGTCCGCTGAGAGGTGAGGTTTTATTGCATATCGGCCAGGTTCACCAGTGGAACCTGGGGGTGAGGAGGAGGCTTCGCGGGGACAGGACCCCCTGGTGCCGGGTTCCAGGGCCACGTCTTACCTTCCGGCGGGCCGCCCTCGCCCTGCGGCCGCCGGGCCAGGAAGCTGTGCGCCAGCAGTGCTTCCTTGGTGTGTTCATCCTGCGCGCGTATGGCCAGGGCGCTGAGCAGCTCTGAGTTGTTGGACGTGCTGCGGTAGTACAGCACGTGCGCCAGCTCCAGCGCCTGCGCACTGCGCCGCTGCCCGAACATCTGCAGGCGGGACTAGCTCAGGACTCGAGCCCACGCCCACACACACCCCTGGGTCACCCACGTGGCACGCCCTTCCCGAACAGTCCCTGGGGGAGGCGCGGGGGCTGTTGTAAAACACAGCTTCCCCCAGCACTACCCAGACCTCTTCAGAGAGGGTCCCCGGGGTTGGGGTCAGAGGATCTGTATTTTTTTTTTGAGACAGGGTCTCACTTTGTTGCCCAGGCTAGAGTGAGTGCCCTGGCGTCAGCCTAGCTCACAGCAATCTCACACTCCTGGGCTCAAGCGATCCTCCTGCCTCAGCCTCCTGAGTAGCTGGGACTACAGGCATGCGCCACCATGCCCGGCTAATTTTTTCTATATATATTAGTTGGCCAATTAATTTCTTTCTATTTATAGTAGAGACGGGGTCTCGCTCTTGCTCAGGCTGGTTTCGAACTCCTGACCTCGAGCAATCCGCCCGCCTCGGCCTCCCAGAGTGCTAGGATTACAAGAGGGTCTGTATTTTTAACACACACGGTCTCACCCCAGTGGCTCCAAGGCCACCAGCCCCACCTAGGTAGGAAGACTACGGTTTTTAGCAACCGCTGCTGCATTGGTTTGCTCATCAGAGCCACGTATTAATGGATCTGCTCAAAGATTTCCAGATGTTACGAGTTTTAGCCTTAGAAGATTTTGTCACAATAAGTTCTTATCTTTTATAGACATATTACAGTATGATAAGATGATAAGTCTAGGATTTGCTTCAAAACTATCCAATGGTGGAGAAGCGGGGGTCTTTAGACAAAATCCCATTAATCATTGATGCTAGGTGCTGGCTGCATGGGAGTTTATCATACTATTCTATTTCTGTATTTGTTTGAACTTTTCCACAATGAAAAAAGGTTTAAAATATTAAATTGTAAAGAGAAGTGGAGGGAAGAACAATGTTGGGGGAGGGGGAGGTCTGGGGCCCAGCTGTCTTTTGGCTGCACTCTTCCCCAACTTGGCCCCTCCTTGCTTGGACCCCATTCCCATCCGTGGCATGTCTAAGAAGAGAAGTGAGAGCCCACCAGTGTCCTCTGGGCTCACAATGAAAACCTGCACCAGGATTCCTCCATTTGTACACAAAATGAGGTCAAGGCCACTGGATCCTGCCCCAACTATGCCCCTACCAGCTGCGAGTCCTTGGCTAAGACCTAAGTCCTGGGGTAGCACTGTCTGTAAAACAAGGTTGATGCCAGGAAAGGTTCCATAAGTCAGTACACAGTTAATAAGACACTTGGAACTGAGCCTGGCCTCTCAAAAGCACTTAACAAACATTAGCTAGACAGTGCAATCGTCATCCACAACCTGTGCTGGGTGCCCATAGAGCGCTGCCTGTCTTACATCGAGGACGGAGGCGAAATGCCTCTGAAATCAACACACCACGGAAAATTGCTGAAATGGCTTGCACGGTACCAATGACACGGCTGTGTGTGGACTGTACCTTCTTCTTACGAGCCCAGCACAGTCGGTTTATGTCCCTGCATTGGAACGAATTGCCATTTCTTTGGTTGAGGGCAAGATGCAAGAATAGCTTGCTTTAGGGACCATCTGATATGAAAAACATATTAGGTTTTGTGTTTATGTCTGCCAAGCTTATGGAGTTGAATCCCCCCATGTTAAAAGAGCAAGTCATGCCACTCCATGGCACACAGATGAAGCCAAATGTCTCCCTGGAGAGGGGTCACCACCTGCCACTTGGATGGTCCCTTCAGCACAGCCCACATTGAGCACAGCACCTCCCCCAGCCCATTCGTTCCTCCTCCCCTGGGATATGTATCTATTGCAGTCCCACCATCTACTCAGTGTCAGGCCAGACCCATGACACTGTCCCTGCTCCCTCCTCACCAGCCTGTCAGTCCCCAGCCCCATCCTGCTGTCCACTGACTCTCTCAGCCCATCCCCTCCTCCCCAGCCCTACAGCTCAGCCCTGGCTCGGGCTTTATCCTTGCCTGCCTGATGCATCACCCTAGCCTCCTCCCTGGCCTACGTTTCTCCCCTCCAGAGCTGACCCGGCCCCTGCCCTGCTCACAGCCCTCACATGGCTCCCCAGTGCCCTCAGAGAACCAGGCTCCTTGACAAGGCCCTCCCACTCACCTTGTGCTCCTC